CATACAAGAGACTTCTCGCTTGCATGTCTGTGAAATTCTACATATCACTGTAAGATGAGAAGACCTCTTGAATGTTTACAGATCCGTACGAAAAGGCACGCAGCAATTCTTCCACCAGGTCCTTTCGTCCAATACTTGAAATATCTGTACGGCTCATGTTGAAACATCAGTTAAGTCAAAAAATAGCGCGTACACAATATTGTTACCATACAGATAAGTTAACTTTATTTGGTTCTTCAAACCGTGTGGCTTCGGTGTGAATAAACAGATCCCCGAGCGGTCCGTTAGTGTAAACACCATAAGAATAATCTCCTCAGAAGAAGATAAGACATCGCGGAACAAGCTAGATCTACCATTAACTCGAATCCCCATTTGAGGACCAGATTGTAGGTAACTGGTATTGACGCAAACGGACAACTCGACTGAACCTCCGCTTTATGTTGCCCTTTGACCGACTATGCCACACAGGGATTGACACTAGCTTCAGTTGGCATGATAACCTACGAACCGAAGTATTTCTTGACTTAGCGCTAATGCGCAGGTTGCAGAGAATACCGCAAACAGGGGCTGTTACTTGAATTCATTTCAGCCTACCATTAACACTAGCTCATGTAGTAAACGAGTATAGTTCTCCACTTGCTTGAAACTTGAGGTTGAGATGAAAGATATAGTTGATGGGTACTCGGGGGCTGCGCCTGCTTGATAGGCCTTAAGAAGCATAAAACCGGTAATAGTGTGTCGAGGCGTTTTCACAACCTAATGAACAGTGTTTGCTTGTGAGAAATCGATCAGAATGCCAAATGAAGCATGAGCCCACTTTCGTGCAGAACCTTTAGCTGAAGGACACCATACACCAGAGATTAAGTTGGAATTTATTTGAGGCTCCCGCTAACACCAAAATTATGCCTTCTTTTCTGACCGTATATAGTGACAGCTTGACTGAGGCTGCCTGATAGAAGCTAATTTTTCATTTAGTTCTCTTCCTACCAATGTAAGCGAGAAATGGACGAATCATAACCCTCGTATAATCAGGCTTTTTGAGTCCCTGCATATTCTTTACCTTTTCTTGCTGTGGTGTTCACTTCCTCAGGGAGTTATTTGTATCCGGGTGTAGAAGCAAAGAAATGTTAATCTATCGGGATTTAAAAATTTTCTCGCTGCAATGTGGTTGCACTGCTGAAGCTCGGCATGAACAAAACAGTGAAACTGTCAGCTGGCTTCTGAGTTAGCTGTACGCACTCGTAATTTAGTCCAGCCGTGTGGAATTCTCCAATGAAGGATACTAAAAATATCGGGGTGATTGTTTCACTCCTCATGTAAGGTTTAAACAGTACTCTGACGCCGCCAGTTGTTCTTACATTTTTCCGCTATCATTCTAAATTCGTCTCAGTACGGCATTCATATAGCTACTACTTCCACTGCTGAGAGTGTGACAGGTAGGGCAATGAAACTTGAATAACAACACAAATGAAAATGGGTTAATAACAGTTCACCTGGATCCTCATGCAAAATCGTCATGGGGTGCAAAGGATCCACAGAACAGTTAGCATCATGTCTTGATGAGGTAGCCCTATCATCCCATTTTTGTACTGAAGTCAGTTGATGAAGAAATCGGGTTCAATAAGCAAGTGACAGTTTACGAGGTTGGACGTGATCTTTGCCATGCCAACTGATACGATTCTTCAGACAACAGAGTAAGCATTCTTTCGTTTGAGGGTATTCCTTCAAACATTTCGAGAAGAGGACATTTGGTAGACACACCTAGCAACCTCTTCCGAATACTGGTGTAAGCTTTACTACTCTTCAAGAACAGTTTTTCCACCGGCACCACACTATTTGAACAAATGAGTAACCGGATGTTTGAAAATATCCAAGGAAATCTTGAGCAAAGTTGTTGGTAGTAGGTCACAACCATTCTGCTTCCTAGTTTTGAGGTCAATGGGTTGCTTCTGCACAGCACTCGTAATGTTGGCAGTATGGTTAAGCCAGTGAGATGGATTGGTTAGTGGTGTCAATAAATTATCGTTTAGCTCTGTCAAACGAATTATATTGAAGGGTGCTTTGAGGCATTTCATGTCTCCTGAAGTTCTTTTTGCCAAGTAGTGTTTGAGCGTACATTACCTTCGGATGGCCGCAAAATCTTTTTTGTCTGTTTCGTGAGGTTCATGACCTACGAATAAGTTACCTTCTGATGAACTTTTTCTGTCGTCCCACAAATCCGATCCGCAAGTGACATATCCATTTACCTTAACACTTAATATACGCTCAAGAACGTACACCTCCATCGTCACCGTCAAATAGTAACGTTTTGCCTGCCAGAAATTCATTTCACTTGGCAGGTGACTGACGTCGTGTGGGTATGCTTGAACAACTAAATTTTGAACCAAATATTCAACAATAGTGCAAAAGCGACTAGTAACCTAGTAACTCAGAACTGTGGTTGATTAGAGTGGCTTATCCACGTTGTTTGATAAGTAGACAGTTCAATTCACTCTTACCCTGAGACACGTGCCACTCCAATCAGGGGGGGGGCTGCACCTGCATCCATACGAATCGACTGTTCAGCCAGTCCAGCGAGCTTGATTGCACAATAGTTTGCCTGATTCATTTTGGTTACTATGGTGCTGACATTCTGCACTCACATTGGCCATTCAGCCCGCCTACAGCTGGTGCGTTTGAAATCAACCGCCTGCCACATACCGGAAGTGTGTTTATTATAGCCTAGTTTATTATCTGTCTTGGTTGGTTGGTGCTCAGACTCCACTCCAGATAGCAAACCGCAGGTGTGAATGGGCTTCACGCGCTCATTCATGCTCGAATATCTCTGTGTCTGGTCTGTAATTACGGAACACCTAATCGGGTTAGCAACCTTACAGCGATTGATACTGCCGTGTGAAACATTCGGATAATTAATGAGGTTAGTGACTCTCAGACCCACCAAGGGTGATTGCTACGGCGGATTCAGTTCAGTGTCTGTGTTGCTGTGTGAAGTTATCTGGCCGCAAACCGCAGCGGTAAACCTGAAGATAGATTGCGCCACTAATCTGTAGTTGTGTAGTCAGGCCGTTTCATCCGGATTTTCATCATTTGGTCACTGTGTTCGAAGCAGTTTTCCAGACCGTCAGTTATTAGCCGAGCTGTCTGGCGATATGGAATTTGGAGAATAACCGTACCGCAGTCATTAATCATGCCTCTGAAAAACAAGTGACATTTACGTCCAAGTGCAATGACACAAAGAAAGATAAGAGGCATAGTGACCAGTAATTGTCAGTACCACTCACGCAGTCGAGTGTTTCCGACTGAAGCGAGGACTATGTTTGAAGAGGTATGCTCTCACTTAGCAAGGCTGAATCTGCTTGAAAAAACACAGTTTATCTTGCAACATGTCCAGATTAAATCTTCACGAAAAACTATTGAACTCTGCATGTCGACGTAGCTGTGTTCAGTAATGCTGTTTTACTTCAAAAGAAAACTTGGTAGCTCTCTCCAGGGGGTGGATAAAGCATCAGTGCATCAAATCCTAGGAAACATGCAGGGCTATTGTGAAAGATTTTAAAAATGCTTATTAGTAAACGAAATGCTCAGAGTTGCCATTAACCGGAATCTTCTGATGTTATTATGGCCCAACTGGCACTTAGTATTCCCGATTGGTTACTACTTCCATCCACACCGTGTGACTTATTTATTGATCTGAATTGTACTCCCGTTAACCTAATCTGAGATTTCCAAATTCTCAGTTTTAACTGTTGATAAAGTCTTCTAGTGCCTTGTGTCATCCAACAAAAAGAAATGGATTAACGGTCTCTCTTCGCGAGGAAATCTCTTCTTAGAAATAGGAAATCTGATAGACTGAAAAAGGGGGTAGGTTTGAAAGAAAAGCAGTCTCATGAGGACCCAGTGGCAAATGACTATGTTTGGCATATCCTTGGGGGGCTCAGCCTTTGGCTGATTAGTGTATTCATCTTTAAGCGTGTATAGTAACTGGGTGAAAAACCGGAGCGCTATACCTCTCTTGAGACAGCACGCACATTACGTGTCCTACCATTCAGAAAATCATGCCACCTCTCTCCTTCGACGTTCAATAATGAATTTTGCGCCTGGGAAATTATCTTGGGAGAACGGTTATTAGATTCGCACCTCCCAGCGAAGCTCTGGCAGCATGTTGCACCTGCATTTGCATTAATGGATGAACACTGAGAGTGCAAGTAACAGTGATGCACTTCCCGATCGAACTAAGGGCAGTGTGAGTGACTTCACTGCCTGACCCAACCCAGTTTGTCTGCATAAGTAGGACACGATTATTATCAAAAAAGAAATGGACAGTTTGACCTTCTCTATCCTTTCACTCCCAGTGGCAGACGCATTCCTTGTACACC